CGCGCGCGTGCGCGCGCGCGCCTTCGTATCTGTGTGTTCATGTACGTGTGGGTGTACCTGTGTATTTTCTTTTCTTGAAGACAAATATACATACAGATGGTCAGGTAAACGATCGCATATACCCACTATTACAGTGCTGCCAATTTTATATTATTCTCACCTTCAAATTGCCCATCATCAGTCACGTCAACAGCAATAAATCTGACATTTTCCTCACCAAAACGTTTCTTAAAATCTTCCGAAGTAGCAACTCCAGTTGTTTCGTCAATATCACCTAAGCAAACCTGAAATGAGAAAAAGCATTGAAAGTAGTTATCCATATGCTAGATTTTTAAAAATCAATTTCACGGTGTGTGTGTGGGGGGGGGGGTATATTGAAAACATCATCAACCAGAAAAATCATTGTTTTGACTGAACTAATATCACTTCAATTTCGTCTGATTCGGCTATCTCCATTTCCCATTCCCTATCCCATGGTATAAAGAAACGTTTCAGAAACGCCATTAAATCATCAAAAATGATTGCCAGGAGTAGATCATGATAGTGACCTTACTTGTAATATAAAATGTGTGTGGGGGGGGGGGGGGGGGTATGAAGGCGAAACATGAACCAAAATTGCAAATACATAAGGAGAGCTTTTAAAAACAGGTCAATAATTGAGAGAACAGCCTTTTGTTTCAGACGGCAAAAGCAACAAATGCCATTCATATGTATGTACGGGTGTAAGTATAATATAATATATAGTCTCTCTCTCTCTCTCTCTCTCTCTCTCTCTCTCTCTCTCTCTCTCTCTCTTTCTTTCTTTCAACCCCCTCTCTCTCTCTCAACCCCACCCCCTCTCTCTCTGTCTCACTCTCTTTCCCCTATCCCTCTCACTCTCTCTTTCTCTACCCCACTCTCTCTCTCACTCTCTTCCCCTATCCCTCTCACTCTCTTTCCCTATCCCTCTCTCTCCTCTCTCATTATGAATTCCCTCTTCCCTCTTAACCCGAGCTGCCACGATCCACATTTTTTTAATCCCTGATTTTTACCCTCGCCTTTTACGAGCACTGAGTTGGCTAACTTTTCATTTCCCCGGGTGTCATTTGCTTAGCAATAGAAACGACCTTTTTCAACGGGGGGGGACCATTGAACAGATTCTGAGAGAGGGAGGGGGAGAGAAAGAGAGAGAG